TTAAATAGGAGAGGGCCATCCACTCTCCGTGTCATCTTGAATATTAGCATAAGTGGCTTATGTTGGTGGCTTGTATGCGTAGCCTGTTTTAGCTTCATTTCAGCAAGTATTTGGTGTTATTTTTCCATGATTTACCTCTGTTTAAAGTTGGTTTAGTGGTCTCTTGCATGCACCATATACTTATCTCGCAATCCCCTCATTTGCCTTAACATGTATCTACCATTTGGCCTACCATGCTTGCATGTTTTGGCTCAACCCCATGAAGCTTCTAGCCTTGTTTTAACATGCATGAGCTCTGTTTTTCATTGTTTTGGTCATGCTTACATTGTTTTGTGTAGCTACCAAGCAATCTAGCTTGTTAGCTTTGGGTGTTTGAGTCACTAGCATGCTCTATTCAGATCATTTCAGTGGTTTGGCATCACTTGTAATATTATTTCAGTCCATATAGTATGCTCATGTACTTGTATTTGTCACTCTTTTAATGCTTTAAAGAGTTTGTGTTTTATGCCTCATGAATGTGTCATTGTGTATGCCACCATGCTTAGGTCTTTGGGATGCCATCTAAGTGAGTTTTTTGGGCTTACTTTGACGCCATAACTCTGTGTTTTCATTGCTTAAATCATGCCATGTTTGGTTTTGCTAGGTGTAGTGTAACACCCTCTTTGGTAACCGTGCATTCCTCATGTTCTGGCGTTGTGTTCTAGCTTGTGTTGGCTAGTTTCGAGCTTGCTTTTGGTCTTGTGTAGACCTGCCTTGGGACTGTTTTAGGTCCTCTTGGCCCTTTGGGGCTTGCTTTGTATAGTTGTGGTTTGAACCCTTTGGCTAGTTTCAAGCTTTAAGCTTTCTTGCATGCTTTGCTTATGTACTTTGGTTGGTTTGACACCTCTCCTAACATGATTTCAGAGCTTAACATGTTTGTCACATGTCCATGTTTATCCCCTCCTAAGTGTGCTTTAGAGTTGTTCTACTATGCTTAAGTGTTAGGCCAATTGGCATGCATGTTTATATGTGTTTTTGTCCTCATTTTCATTGCATTTTGGCCACTGATTTGGACCTATTTGAGAGCTGTCCATTTCGGTTAAAGACCATTATCGCATGTTGTTGCATACTTGGCCTATTGCATGTTGTCGCATGCTTGAGTTATATCGCATTTGGCATGCCCCTTTTGTTAAGTTGCTTTGCATGTTTGCATGTATTGTCCCTTGCATGTTGTTGCATGCTTGCCCCACATATTGTTACATGTTTGCCTATCCTTGAATGTTGTCATATGTCTTGCATGTTTGCATGCTTGGTTAGGTTGCATTGCATTTGGCATGCTTATTACCATTAGCCTTGTATGGCATTGTCCTTGACATGCTTCATGTTGTATTAGTTTTGCTTGCATGATTGCATCCCTTGCCTCTTGATCAACCATGATAGAGGTTGGGGCCCCTTATATGTTTATGTGCATTTCATTTGATATAAATTACACATTCGGCTCCTTTGGCCATCATGCATTGAAATGCGTGATCGGTGGCCCGAGGGTCGATGACTATACTCCGCTGAGTTCATAACATGATAGGGAGGGTGGTCGTGCAAACGTTGTCTTGTATATGTATTGCCATGCTCTGTTTGTCCTCTGCTGCAGCAACACAGCATTCTGCAGGAAGATATGGCCGGTCGGCTAAACATTGTTAGCCGAGAGCCTTACATTTGGTCATCGACCAAATGGCCATGGCCGATGGCCCTATCTCTTGGCTGATGGACTCTCAGAAAGTCCCCAAGGTGGTTCAGAAGTGTCACAGTTTTCAGAGGTACAGAGCAATGTAAACAGAGGCAACATGTGACATGGCGATGGATTTCCAAGCGAAGCTGTCCGAGCATGCATACATCCCTCTTCCCGAGGCCATTTTTATTGTTTTCATATCTTAATTGATTTACTTAATTAGTTAAGTGTTGTGTAATAATTAATTAGCTTGTTAGTTAGTTAATTATGTAATTTGTATTATTCTTTCGGTCCCTCCGTCGAGAGGGCGCGATTGTGTAATAAGCGTGCGTGTGTGTGATGCATGTCTTCCAATCTCCACTTCTTTCTCCCTTTTACTTAACTGCTTACGATGGTTAGTTCTAGGACACGTTTCAATTAGCATCCTTATGCTATGCATGTTTGCATCATTCATCTGTATTGCATGCACCGGGCTCGACACATCATACTACTGCATTGTATTTCAATTCTAAATTGAATACATGTATCGAATTGTTGCACCTCACATGCCATTTTAGACTAGCCGAGCCTATTCTAGTTGCATTTTGTATGTGATGCATTAGCCATCTTAACATGGACTTGGATCATACATTGATTACTAACATGTTCTTTGTTTTGGCTCGGAGTACACTGTGAGTGTTTATGTTTTAGCATCTCGCATGTATGTGAGTGTTAACATGACAGCATACTTGCCATGAGGCTAATTGCTTATGTGATATAACTGCCTAAATGCCTGTGGGTGAAGGTTGAATTACTTGAATTGGGACAATTCATTGAAATCCTTGTTTTAGCCTACTAGCGAGTAGCAAACTTCAAACCATTTCAAAACAAACGGATATGCGATGCTTTGTTCCAAATTAGGCGATCTAGTCTATACTTGTGTGTTGTGCGCATCACATAGTAAATTCTAGCGAATTAACCGGAATAAGAACGCATGTGTTTTCAAAAACAAGATATCATGTTTAGTACAGGCCGATCTTCGGATCGGGTGAGCGGGGTTGCTCATAGATGACCTTTCCCAATCGTACCCAAGTTCCCGAGCCGAGACAACTTTGGTGATGACGGACACGTGGCTTTAGGCAACGAGTCAGGGTTTTCTAAATTTCCTCCAAATAAAATATTTAGGTGGCGACTCTGTATCTGGCAAAACAATCCATGTTTGGCACTACTTTCTTAAAAATTAGTTTTCCAAAACGATTTGCCGAATTTGGACTCTTTGGTGATTTATTGGTCTCGTGTTGCACTTTGCGGGATTAGATTCAGAACCGTGACATTTGAGTCCGAACTGTAGAAGCATGAGGCCCTCGGGGCGCGTCTACAGAGCATATTCAGCAATCATGGGAGGACATTTCGACGGTTAGAAGCCCACTTTGACAGTTATCATTAAGAAGTATAAATAGCAGAGAAGACCCTAGAATGAAGGATCCAGACTCAGATAAAAAAACTAGTTTACTTACTTCGTATTTCTTTCCAGTTTTTTACAGTTCTTTATAATTCTGTACTTCAATTCTTGTACTGCATTTCATTCCTAGGAGTAGTTTCAAATAACTTGTTGTTGTAAACCTCTATGAGGCTGAGTCAGATCATTGTAAACGTTTCATTTTTACTTAATGAAATTCAAATTCTGGAATTATTCACTTGTTGTTATTTATTACATTTTCCTAAAACAAGCCACCAGTAAAAGTCCTCTTCATTGAGGCTGAGAGAACTAAAACACAATCATTTGATAATTAGTTGACAATTAAATATTCTATAAGGACTGATTGATCCTTGCTGGCACGTTTAAAATTACATTATTAACCTTCGAAAGCCAAAAAAACTAACATACATTTTTGGCACGCCCAGTGGGACTAATTGAAATGGCTAGACGTAGGAGACAAGGAGAAAATGAATGCCTGGAAGAATGTGTGCAAGGAGAGGTAGAAGTACCCGATCTAGAGGATAATGTGATAACATATCCTATAGAAGCACCTATCTCATCAAGACCTATGGTCAAATAGACCAGTAATTTAGAACATGCACCACATGTCCAAAATATTGGACGAGGCCATGGAATTGGACCATCCACTGTTCTATCTACTCATCCAATGAATCCATGGGGAGGCCTAGTAGATGCCATGGGATAACAGTTAACGAACACAATAGAAAGATGGGCAATATCTTTTATGGATCGGATGAATTCCCATCAACCAACTAACACAAGGCATATGGAGGAAAATTCAAATGTTCCTCAGCAAAGATTAGCTAGAGATAAACAGTCTATGCAAAGTAATGGACATACTATTGGTCAGACTAGTAATCAAAATTATGAAAGACCATCACCTATGCCTCAGTCTTAGAATGAGCCTCTTTCAAGGCCTATGGTAAATCAAAATGCCTCATTACCTAACAGCGAAGCCATACAAATTGGTAGATCTAGGCCAACACAAGAAATTGGCATGAGAATGTTTCAAATCCCATGTTTGAAGCCATACCTGGCACAAAGGGGTTCACTAATCCTTTGTGTTAGAAGGGTTTCGTGCGGCTGGAAAAGAAACAACACCTGTTCCTCCTATTGTAGCCCCTTTCACAGGTCTTTTCACAGGACAGACACAAAGAGGTCAAGGATACCCTCAACAACAGCCAGTACCACAGGGACAGCCAGTCCAAAATATACCTCCCTATGGACCAAGAGGACCTTAAGCACAAGGGTTTCCACCAAATCCTATGTTTGTTCCTCCAGTGGTAGTCCAACAAGTACAAAATATGGTTCCTAGGAACTAAATAGCTGATATTGTCAGAGAAATGTGTGGACTTATGGCTCAAGGGGTTCAAACTCCTGTGTATAGGAAACCATACCCAGAATGGGTGGATAGAGTGCATGAATACCCAAAGGGGTTTAGAATACCAGACTTTGCTCTTTTTTATGGGAATGGAATCCAGTCAACCGTAGAACACATTGCTAGGTTCGCAGCCCAATATGGTGAATTTAGCAATAATAATTACATGAAGTTAAAACTTTTTCCAAACTCTCTAACTGGGGCAGCTTTTGTATGGTATATTTAACCTTCCACCTAGCTCTATCTAAATTTGGCATTTCATGCCCAATTCTTCCAAATAGAGCTAGAAGTTTCCATGGCAGACTTGGCAAGATTGAGTTAAAGGCTTGATGAGAAGGCTGTTCAATTTATTGTCAGATTCAAAAGAGCACGAAACAAGTGTAGGGTCATTCTACCAGAACTTGAATTTGTGAGATTGGCTCAAAATGGTTTAGAGTTTAGGTTTCGAAAGAAGTTACTAACCAAACTTCTACAAAAGTTGATACAAAAATAATAATAATAATCATTACATGTAACTGTACTGTTACCTTGGTGGTTGGATCCTTCCTGGCAAGCCTCTTCAAGTGCTGTGCAACTTCACCATCAATATCCTGCAATGCCAAGACCACTGAAAGATCAATAGAAACAATAAACAAACAAGACATCATTGCATAAACAGTACGATTCCATCTCCGACTCCAATCAACAAGCCAATAAGACACTAAACTCCTTTTTTTCTTTTCTTTTTTCCCTTTTTTTTTTTTTTTCTTCTTCTTGCAAATTCTTGAATTAGGACAATGGGCAAAAAATTTACCCAGCTGAATTGAGAATAACATAGTAGTGTTTTCAAGGTTTTTAACTGTTTCGCAAACAATTAAAACACAAATAAATAAATAAATAAGCATTAAATTTTGAAACCCATTAATGAAGCAATCAAAGTTATAAACTTTCTCTAATGGTGAATTAAAGATTGAAATAAACTGAGAGAAAGAATTACCAAAAAGGGGACAGAATCATCGGTTGAGAGAGCCGAATCGACCCGCGAACTACCCACAAAACCCCCGAATCCAACGGCTGTAGAACCCGACGGCACGAGCGAAGCAGCCAGACTTGAAATTTTTTTAAAAAACACACAATAATAATAATAATAATGATTTCATCAAAAGTAGAATTCAAAAATTAAAGAGAAACAGAAAAATTGGAAAGAGAAGAAGAATTGATTTTACCTGCTGCTGGAGGGACGTGCCTTGCTTCTGTTTCCATCTCCTTTCTGTCTCCCCATTGATATGCTTACTTATTTATTCACTCAAAAACTCTGCATGTTCTTTCTATTCTATCTATCAATCAGAATACCTAAAACTCTGAGATTCTTCTATTCTGTTGAGTTGAGTTTGGCCCCAAACTGGGATTTTTATTTTTATTTTTATTTTTTTGGCTTGTTCTCTCTGAAAAAGTTGAGAGAACCCTTTGTTAAGGCCTGTATAGGGCCGAGCCGGTTCGTCCTGGCGGAGTCAGCCGCCTTCCCTATTCGATTTACGGCCGACAAAGCTCGGTCTCGTAAAAATAGCAGGGGAAAAATTACAAATATGTTCATTTGTAACGGAGTATAAATGAAATGTTTCGTGAGTGTAATTGTCATTTACATGATTTTTTTTTTTCAATTTTTCATCTGTGTGTAATTCTCCAAAATAGTAAGACCTAAAAGTGTCGCCGTAAAATATTAAATTAAAAATATATATAATTTTGAAAAAATTACTCATAAATCCTATTTTAGTAAATGTTACACTAATTAGTTCTGAATGTTTTTTATTAAACCATTTAGTCTTGATTATTTTTGGTATATTGTCAAACAAACATCAGCAACATCTTTGTGAACATTCAAGCACATCATCAACATCGAATATTCAGAAACATGAAGACCATGTTCAAACATTCAGAACATTCAAGAACATTGACATCATCGAATCTGGTGTTTATGAAAACATTCAGAATATTGAACATTAAACATTGAACATTGAGATGTTGCTGATGTTTATGAAAACATTGAACATTGAGAACATTGAACATTTATGAAAACATTCAGAACATTGAACATTAAACATTGAACATTGAGATGTTGCTGATGTTTATGAAAACATTGAACATTGAGAACATTGAACATTTATGAAAACATTCAGAACATTGAACATTAAACATTGAACATTGAGATGTTGCTGATGTTTATGAAAACATTGAACATTGAGAACATTGAACATTTATGAAAACATTCAGAACATTGAACATTAAACATTGAACATTGAGATGTTGCTGATGTTTATGAAAACATTGAACATTGAGAACATTGAACATTTATGAAAACATTCAGAACATTGAACATTAAACATTGAACATTGAGATGTTGCTGATGTTTATGAAAACATTGAACATTGAGAACATTGAACATTTATGAAAACATTCAGAACATTGAACATTAAACATTGAACATTGAGATGTTGCTGATGTTTATGAAAACATTGAACATTGAGAACATTGAACATTTATGAAAACATTCAGAACATTGAACATTAAACATTGAACATTGAGATGTTGCTGATGTTTATGAAAACATTGAACATTGAGAACATTGAACATTTATGAAAACATTCAGAACATTGAACATTAAACATTGAACATTGAGATGTTGCTGATGTTTATGAAAACATTGAACATTGAGAACATTGAACATTTATGAAAACATTCAGAACATTGAACATTAAACATTGAACATTGAGATGTTGCTGATGTTTATGAAAACATTGAACATTGAGAACATTGAACATTTATGAAAACATTCAGAACATTGAACATTAAACATTGAACATTGAGATGTTGCTGATGTTTATGAAAACATTGAACATTGAGAACATTGAACATTTATGAAAACATTCAGAACATTGAACAATGAACATCATCAACAAGAACATTCAGAACATTCAGAAGATTCAGAACATCAAGAACATTCAGAACATCAACAAACATCGAACATCAAACAACATCGACCATGTTCAAACATCATCGAACAAGAACAAAACACCTTTGTTGTGGCCTCATTGTCGGGAATTACTGCCACGATGTCGTAATCGCCGATAGCCTCAGCGGCGCCGCGGCCTTCATGGTTCAAAATCTGTGTTTGATGTTTGATGAATAATCTTAATGTTTAGTGGTTGATGTTTGATGAATAATCCTGACGTTGCTAATGTTTAATGTTGGATGAATAATGTTTGATGTTTGAAAAGAAGGGAAATTATAAAAAGACCTATAGTAAGCTTCTTGGAAAATAGGACCTATTAGTCCAACAAAAAACATTGGGGACTAAATGGGTTAACATTCCCAAATTTGAGATTTATTGGTGCTTTCCCCTATAATTTTACTTCTCACATAATTATAAATTGACATAAAAAAATTATAGGATAAATTATAAATATATCGTCCAAGATTACTTAAAATATGAATTAGTTTTTGTGTTTTAGAAAATTATAAATATCTCCCTATTTGAATTTTTTATTTAACAGAATTAATTGAAAGAGTGAAATTTCTAACTCTTCACCTATATAATAATAAAATTATCTGAATTATTAATTGAAATAAAATTTTAACATTATTAAAAACTGTTAATTAATTTGATGATTTATTAATAAAAGGACTTATTTGTTATGAAATTGAAACCTTAGGGGGCATAATATAATTTCTAGAACCACAGAAATAATTTATAATTTAAGTAAATTTCAGGCTGTGTTTGTAATTTATCCAAAATTATACTTTTTAACTATTAAAGTTTATGAAATTTGTTTTCAAAATTATGCTGAATTTCTACTCTTCTTAAAATTTTCATAATACCAAACAATGAATAGGTGTATATGGATCCAACTCTTCTACGTCACATTTGTGATTCATTTTATAAAAATTAGGGTAAATTATACTGGCAATCCCTGCGATTTATATTTATTATAATTCCTCTTTTACATTTAAAAAATTACATTGACCCTTCTTGTCAATGTAATTATTTGACGGTATTAACTTTTAAGTAAAAATGACATATTTACCCTTAACATTTACATATATTTTAAAAGGTAAATTACATTGACACCCCCTGAGGTTTCAATTTAATACGGATCCCCCCTGATATTTAAAAAAAAAACTAATTTAATAAAAATAAATATGAAGAAATATATTTAATTTGTAAAAAAAATATTTCTAACCACTCGAAAGATAAAAATTATATAAAAATGATAATTATTTTTTATTTTTTATTTCTTAACGAAATTAATTTTTAATTTTTTAAAAAAAATCTAAAAATCAAACCATACATAGCTTAAGAATCTTTTGATAAGTCATTTTTTACGCTGGTAACTTATTTAATTATTTGTTAATTTTACGATATTTTTACCATCTGAGCCCTGTTTGGTAACCATTTCGCTTACAGTTTTCAATTTGTATTTACAAAAAATTTAAAAACTGTCATAAAAACTTGTTTGATAATTTTTTTGGTTTATAAATTGTTGTATCAGTTTGTAAATTTGAAAAAAAAACGTAAATTCAAAAAATGAGTTTACATTAGTTTTTAAACAGAAATTTAAAAATTTGACTAACAAAATTTTTTTTCAATTAAATTTTTTATCAATTAATTTTTTTTCCAAATAATTTTTTTCCCAATTAAATTTTTTTTCAATGAATTTTTTTTAACTAATACTAACCGAGGGGGCAATTGGTAATACTACTTTAAACCTTAGAGAGGAGATTGTAATTTCTAAAATGTGAGGAATGTCAATGTAATTTACCCAGTGATGGTAAAATTAGTATTTAAAAAAATTGAATTACTGACATCAGCAAAATCTATTAGTTGACTTAACAGTCAACTAACTAAGGGAGCAATCTGTAATGAAACTTAAACCTCAGGAAAAGGGATGTAATTTTCAAAAAGTAAGGAAAAAAATTACAATAATAATAAATTTCAGAGAGTGTCAATGTAATTTACCCTAAAAACTAAGAGACGACCTGTAGTACATCATATTTAATTTATTTTTTAAGAATTTAGACATATAATTCATAGCATCAGGTTTAATTGAAATTTTTAATTCATTAATCGGCTTGGAATAGTAATTGAAAACCACTTGGCCCAGCATGGCCCGATTATTATTATTGTTATTAGGGTAAGTTATGTAAATAATCTATGTGGTTTATACGATATGTCAATTTAGTTTTTGTAATTTTAATTTGCTCGATTTTGTTCATTAATTTAACAGATTGTGTCATTTTAGTCCAATAAATAACAGTTGTTAAGTTAATTTAACGAAAAATCAAACAATGTGTCAATTTAGTCCCTATATTTTACATGATGTGTCAATTTGGTCCTTGTTATTAGAATTTTCTCGATTTTGATGGGACCAAATTGACACATTGTTTGACTTTCCGTTAAATTAACTTAACAACCGTTATTTATTGGACTACAATGACATAATCCGTTAAATTAAGGGGCAAAATCGAACAAATTAAAACTACAGAGACCAAATTGACACATCGTATAAACTATAAGGACTATTTGCATAATTTTCCCTTGTTGTTGTTCTTATTATTATTATTATTATTATTATTATTATTATACACAAATAATTTGTTTAGTTTTATTTTTGTTGTAATACAAAATGTATTTTAAGAAGAAAAAAAATACACCTATTAAACCATAGTAAACCATAAGTGCTCACGTGGCTAAACCATAATTTAGTAATTTTTATTTTTAGTATAATCGTTATTTATTGGACTACAATGACATAATCCGTTAAATTAAGGGGCAAAATCGAGCAAATTAAAACTACAGAGACCAAATTGACACATCGTATAAACTATAAGGACTATTTGCATAATTTTCCCTTGTTGTTGTTATTATTATTATTATTATACACAAATAATTTGTTTAGTTTTATTTTTGTTGTAATACAAAATGTATTTTAAGAAGAAAAAAAATACACCTATTAAACCATAGTAAACCATAAGTGCTCACGTGGCTAAACCATAATTTAGTAATTTTTATTTTATAATTTTTATTTTTAGTATAATATGTGAATTTGTTGGCCAAGCCTAAAATTTTAACATCATTTTAGGATCAATTTTAAAATGAAATTTTTACACCCAATGTCTAGCCGAATTGGGCTTAGACACGAGTTTCTTATTTTTTCTAGCCTAGGTCTGGCCAGTCAATCCCACCCCGCAATAAGGATGGCCATCGATTCAATAGGGGGTTTAGCTGGCCAAACTTAGCTCAATATTTTTAATATTCGAAACAATTGTTTTTGTTTGTAAGGTCGGACTTGACTAAAAATTTAAGTCAATTTATTTTTTAAATTGAGTTTGAGATAAGTAATTTTGGCCAATTTATTTATAATTTTTATATTATTTAATTACATAACAAAGTTAGCAAGGTAATAGCAAGCTTCTAAATACACCCTTGAATATCTATGTTCAATCACCTGTAAAAGACTTGGTTTCAAAAACACAAATGTTACAATACATATGATGAGTATAGTGGGAAATTTAAAATGTACATTTTAAATGCTCCCAAAAGAGTAATGGTAACAATTTTTGTTTTATGTTTTTGTTGTCAAAATTGCAACAATTTTATAAAATGTGGTTTCACAAGTTTTCATTCTCACCCCTTTCCCTCACAACTTCCCTCGTGCTCCAATCCAACAATCCCATTTTCCTCTTTGGCAATTTATTTTTCTAGTGAGTCAGCATTTACTCTTTACTATCAATTAATCCCAGAAAAATATTCATCCATTTCTGGAAATTCACAGGGAAATCAATTTCATCGAACTGACACCATGGAAGCAGCCTCCGAGGCACTATGCCCATATTGTGTCAGGGTCAACATGAGATGAAACTAAAATATGTTACAGGTCGACAAAGATCAACTCTTCGTTATGAATGTTCTGCTAGATCCATAATTTTCTCCCATCGAAAAATATTACAATCAAAGCGACTACGAAAGCATGATCTACAAACCCGGGAAATATGGTTAGTCGAAATCTGTGCCTCGGCACCAGAACCTTCTGAATCCCAAGCTTGTACATAAGGCTAGTCTGCATTAATTCCATGAAAAATAAACATAAGGTTATCTCAGCAGGCATATACAAGAGACAAAACATATATGATGACAGGGATAAGCTTCCCTCCATACTTGCATCTCTCTATACTCGCATCTGTCCATACTCTTACTCTTGTGAGCCCAAATTTGGACTCACATTGACAATCTGAGCTGCCTACTTTATAGATACCATAATAAAGGTCATCCATGTAAATAATTAATTTCATCGAATATCTATAAATAAAAGAACAAATCACATTTTGTTTTATGAAATGAATAGCTTTGAACCATTCGTTTTGTAAAATAAAACATTATTTGTTTCTGTGTTTATAGTTGCCCAATAAATATAATTTTTTGTATGAATGAACTTTACTGTGAAGCCTATGAAATAGACGGTTTGGATATCAAAGTGAGTACGAATTAAGGCCCACAACAGGAGTATGGATGAGAAGTGAGTACGAATTAAGGCCCACAATAGGAGTGTGGTTGAGTATGGAGAGATGAAGTATGGGGGGAAATTTATCCCATGATGATACTATAGTAGCTAAGGTACTTTAATTTTTTGTATGAATGAACTTTACTGTGAAGCCCATGAAATAGACAGTTTGGATATCAAAGTGAGTACAAATTAAGGCCCACAAGAGGAGCATGGATGAGTATGGAGGAAAATTTATCCCATGATGATACTACAGTAGCTAAGGTACTTTAACCCGTGTTAACATCCCAAGTTTAGTAATAAAGTTTACCAAATCTTCACAATAAATATAACATGTTAATCAGATTAAATTACATCAAACAAAAATTATCATGAATATGTTACAAAATCCTCCTCTAATGTGGTTTCCTTTATGAGGAAACATCAAGATTTCCCAAATCAAGTGGGGGGAGTTTTTAAACTTGGACCAGATGTTACCAATTCAGGCACCGACCAACTCATGTCCAAGTTCCAGAGGTCTGATTCTGATTCAAAGGAAAGATAATTATTAAGAATAGATTAAGCACTTTAGGACATCCATAGTCCAATGATCCTACTGCTTTACTAGTTTTTTCAATATTTGATCTGGTAATATTTTGCAACTGTGTTGTAAATGGATCCATGCCAAAATACAAGTATCGTTTCCCAACAATGATGTATTTGTGACAAGAAACCTTTTATATGACAGAAAACAAAATCTATGTCTACAAGTGAAAATCCTTCGAGTGCTAGTTAAGTTGGTTTGAGGATAAGGACATGGATGAGTGGAAGTACTAGGGATGATAAAATCAGGTGGGGAGAGAAAAACATTCATGATAAGTTACATGCAGAGGAAAACTAGGCCTCGTTTGACAACATCACTTTTTAACCTAAAAGTCAAAAGTCACTAAAAAAATCAAAAAACCAACAACCTATACCAAAAAGTCAAAGATTTCATTTTCTCTCTACTTTTTACACATCTTTTCATAAAAAATCAAAAAGTCATCCCAAACATACTAGTTTTTTTTACATTATATTTTAGCCAAAAAACCAAAAAGTTACTACAAAAGGCTATTTCCAAACGAGGCCCAATCAGACATGACAAACAACGGTAGGGTTTCATAACCTCAGCAACAAATTCAAGGCTAGAGGCTTTGTGTATAAGGTTAACCATATGGAAGTTGAAAGGCCGACAATGAAAACAGAATTAAATGAAAAGAATAAAAAAAAAAAATTCAGCTGAAGCTTAAGTAGAACAATATCAATGAGAGGAATCAGTGTAGCCAATGTTGTACCTATAAATAAGTTGAATTGTAAAAGTTCTGAACATACATTTCATTGTCGATTCATTCAGCAATAAAATTTCTCCATTTCAATACTAGCTCCTACATCCATTTCATAGCAAATAATAAGCTCAATTACTGCGAATTATTAGAATTGACTGGACACTGGAATTACCCAGTGGTATCATTGTAGTTTAGACGACAAATTGTTTGAATTGTCTGGATGCAGGAATTACCCATCGCATCAATACAGTTTAGCAACAAAATAATTATTACGTAACATTAACAATGATGTGAAGTTCATAAGAAAGAAATATTATGATTTAACTGTCACATTTCAGAAGCGAAAGGGAGGAAGGGAACCAGGCTAACATTCACAGTCATATTCTACCATGGCACTGATATCATGTAAATGGGTTTAGAAACATAAAACAAGCCTAAATGGACAGTAATTTGAATATTAAAATATTTTCTGAAATCCATACTAGCATATATTAATTATAATTGTGCTTTCGCTCCACTCAAGATGAAGCAGGCCATCTCAAAAGACCTTGGAGGTACTGCTAGTTACCGTAAGGGTGTAAATACCTGGGCCATTATCGAATTGCCACTATAGATGGTGCATGATCTGTGGAAGGGGGAGCCTTTCATCTTGAAATCAGACTTTGACTCTTCCCCATTTTCACCAACAGGGAATACGTCTAACTCAGTTCTAAAAAGTGCATTCAGTGTCCTCTCTACTCTGAATATCATGACTTCCTCGCTGTTGTCTCTCTTAAAGCCTTGCCAAGATCCATTCTACAAACAGGAAGTATTTTTCGTTACTTCTAATAAGCTCATATAATAAAATTCTAGTAGTCACAAGTCCAATTCAAGACCTTTTATTTGCATGCTTCAGACAAACTACCATATGAAATTAAAGCACTAGAGTTGCACAGGAAGTCTTAGAAAAATTTTGCATGATGCACATGTAAGCAATTAAGCAACTGAGTTATATGTAAACATTCTCATTCACCCAGTATTATAACCACTTCGGTTGGCTGGCAAGACCACGAAGGCCCCTCGGGAGTTGGTATGCTAGTGCAGCATTCTCCTTATGGCGTTGGAAAAGTATACGAGGAGATCCAACAAAAAAAAATAAAGTTCCGACATACGAATAGAAGGGAGTAAAGTTAAAAACACCATGTAATAAAAACAATGACAAAAAATTGGTAATCATTGACCCTCATTTATTTTCTCCCCAAATTTGCCCATTTATGGAGAGAGAAGAATTGTTGGTTACTATGATCGTTGCACTTATCTCTCTCTCTCTGAGCTTATCCAAACAAAGGACAACTCCACCCCCCCCCCCAATAGACCAGTTGGTGGATCTATTAACCGAGAAAGAAAAAAGGGACTCCCCCATTGGCAGTGGCATTGGATCCTTTAGCCTTAAATGTTGCATATCCACTCTGTCCCATGCACTCACCAGCAACCAATCATGTAGTTGTGAGTAACAGAACAAAAAGATAGATACCTTTACGCTGTATTTGGTTGGGAGATTTGAATATAGATTTGGAAAGGAAAAGAGAAAAAGTGTATGAAACTAGGTGAAATATAGGTATATTTTGTTCATATTTCACCTAATTCTTCTCTTTTCATTTCCCTTTCTAAATCTCTCCTCAAATCCTCTAACCAAACACAGCATTAATCCCCCCAAATTGCCCGTATCCAAATTGACTGGAATATACAGATACCAACAAAATAACACTTTGCCTATTAGGCTATGTTCTGTAGTCTTAACAAGGAAGTAAAATCTATTCTATATATTCTTATTACATAAACATACACCTGAGATGGTGTAATACTGTCACGTTTTTTACTTCTCCATGAATGCCCTTCCCACCCAATACCGGTAACCCCTTCCCACTCAATAACTCATATCCAAAAACTGCAAGTCAGTCTTCCACAATCATCAAACTATCTAAAAAATTAAATATTAAATTGCAAAATATCGCATTTGCACTCACCGCTAATTTTTATTAGAAAAGGGATAATCAGGCATCCAACCCAATTCACTAATTTCCATTGAATTACAAAAGCCTAACATCTTACATCCTTTTGTTCTCACATTTAATCAATAATGAATATGCCTCCAAAAAACATATAAAATATGGTATAAATTCCCATCAATTCCAACCTTTTTTTTTCTTATCTCGTAGCATCAGCATTATTGTCAAATCAAAAGCAGAATAGAAGTATAAACTTTTTAAATAATAATCAAAATTCATAGTTTTTAAACTCAGTATCTGATCAATGACATACACACACATGTAGAGAGAGAAAGAGAAAGAGAGAGAGACCTGGTTTCGGTGGATGTAAATGAGGGGATTTCCGGAGGCATCGAAGAGGACGCGTTTGAGAGCCGACTTGTGCGATTGGCGTTCGACTCTAAATACGAGATTACCGGAGGAGTCTTTGAACCTCAGACCGCCGCCACGTGTAACGCCGTGACGTTTCTTGGAGACGAACAAATCGATCGCTATTTGCAAATTGGCCTGGAATTCAGGTGCTGCGAAATCCATGAAAATAGAGGAATAAACAATAGGGAAAGTTCTGATTCAAAAAAAAAAAAAAACGATTCGCTCATTTCATACATACGTAACGTGGGAGTGTTTGATTGGACCAAAGTTCATATTTTTTGCTGACGTTGACTTTCAGCATCTCAAACTTTTCGCTATTTTTTCATTCATCTAATTTTAGGATAAATTACCCTTTTAACCCATGTAGTTTAACGAAAAAACACGAAAATATCTCCGTTTGGAAAGTGGGTTGGCTTTTTAGCTTTTTGATTTTTTTGACTATTTGAACCTGGGCTCAAAAGCTTAGTTTGGAAAGGACTTTTTGACTTTTTAACTTTTTTTGTGAGAGAAGAGTGTAATGATTATGAGTTGGATGTGATGTTTTGTTTGTTGTGACTCAAATAGCCTATTCTGTCTTTTGTGGCTCAAAGAGCCAAAAGAGCCCAAATGAACTCTTCCCAAATAACACTTTAACCTCTAAATTTCATATCATAATGCAATTTTGAACGGATGAAACAGAAGTTGTAAAAAATCTAAATTAGCCTAATTTCTTTTTTTAATTTTCTTTTTAATGCCATTACAAACTAGAATATTCTCTCTCATTTTTCTTTAATTTTTCTGTATTCTTTCGCTTTTCTTCTTCTCTAATTTTCTTCTCATCCATAGCAAACCACACACCTCTCCAACTAGATTACAAGCAAATTTCTATCCTCCATTCTTGTTTTGATGAAAACAGTTTGGGTTGCCCCATCCAAAACTAACCATGAAGACCCATTAATAATATAGTAGAAAAGAAGATTTCATTACTATTTTCTTCACTCAGTAAACCCATAATTGCACAAATTCCACAATGATTTTTTAGTTTTTTTTTCAAGTGGACAAACATTAAAAGTACTTTTAACCTAATCTTTCTTTCACTGTACTCCTAATTTTTGAGAGGATCATATTCTTCCAATTGCCAAACAATTGCCCTTAAAAATTAATTAATTAATTAATATTTCCTCCGTCTCAAAATATTAGTCTCTTATTTCATTTTTTATTGTCTCAAAATATTAGTCCCTCTTCAAAAATCAAGTACAAAAATAATATAAATTTCCTATTTTGCCCTTCTTTTAAATTAATAAACAATATAAAAAGTACAATTATGACATTGATATTTTCAAAAAATGTACTATCAAAAGAATAATTTTGAAAAATCAACCTTTTTCAAATGCAATAATTATACTACCAAAAAAAGTTAAATTCCCCAAAATGGACTATTATTTTGGGACGAATGAAATAGAATTTTTAAGAGAAAAATGAGAATGCATACCATCACTACCCATTAATAGATCAAGGCAAAATATTCAACAAAAAATTGGATATTGTGTCTTATAGCTTGGCCATAAAATAAAGAGTAAGCAATAGAGCATGTCCTATTCGATCAGCAGCACAGGCACAATGGTGTGACTATTGAGAGGAGAAAGAGGTTAATAGGAGAGGAGGTGGTGAGGTTGTGGCTGTGGATAGAGGAATAGAAGCGGAAGGGGTTGAGCTTGGTTAGGTTAACATTATTTAAGTTAAGAGAATGATAAACATAGATTTTAGAAGAATAATGAAACAAAAATGAAAGGGAAGGATGGAGAAATGAGAGAGATGGAAGCATTTTGGAGAGAGACCCATCGTCCTTGGTTTTTAAAAAAAAAATTGGAAGAAGAAAAAAACTAAAGAATTATCCAGTGTGGTTGAGGGAATAAATTTTAGTTTTATGGTTGTGCAACACACACTCTGTTGAAACAAATGGTTTCGTCAAAAATCACAATGTGGTATGAAATCCATGGAGTTTAAGTGTTACAAATGAAACTACAGGAGTGCTTTGTGTTTTTTCGATAAATCACAAAGGGTCAAACTGTTATTTTCCCGTAATTTTATTTCAATTCAAGGCCTATTTTAGAAAGAAACTTATAAGTTAGCTTATTAACTTATTTGGATCATATTATCTCTCTATTTTTTATAATAAGTCAAAAGGCCAGCTTATAAGATACTCCCCAAGTGACACCGAAATATCAATAAAAAATTTAATTTGATATAAATTATTTTAATTTTCTAGAGCAATGCTAGAGATCCACATATTTATACTTATAAATTCACCCATCACAATGATGATTAACTCCAAAGAAGTCGCTAAAATGGTATTTTAGTTAATAATCCACAAATTAAAACAAAAATAGCTTGATCAAACTAATTAAAGCTAAATTAAAAGGAGGGATTTTGAATAATTAATTTAACTAGTTTCGCTGGAGTTGTGTCAACCTAAAAGTGGAATTTGAACAGTAATTAGCCGTCATTTGGCATATAAGGTTTTGGAATTTTTTGATTAAAACAATCACACAAAAAAATAAAATAAGTTAAAAGTTAATAAAATAAAATGTATGTCTTTTAAATCATACTTATTTTATTTTTTCTCTTATAAAAGTTAAAAAATTCAAAAAATTTATCCCAAATAAGGTAATTTAGTCCTAGACTAAAATAACAAAAAAGCTAAAAAGTCAATCCACATTCCAAACGAAACCATAATAAATTTTAAAATTTTAGAATAATTACATTAATTTTATTTTTAATAAAGTTAACTGAATTAAAATTACTATATAGTATGAATATACATGTTCGTATTTGTTAATGTTGAAAATTCTAACTTCATGGGTGAATTTTGAGCATTGTAGAACTAATTTGTATTTATGTTAACGATCGGAATCGTTCATCTCATATGACAAACTAAAAAAAATATGTATATAAAAAATTGAGTTGGTCAAACATAAATAATCACATGATCCAATTGTATATATATTATAATACATGGACAGTCTATTCTTAAAAACATATAGACCGTATAAATAAAAATAGTTCAATAGTATGACAATCAATGTTGGATCAATTTAATTTTTGAATAAATTAGAAATACACACCTTGAGATTTTATTAAAATACGAAACGCCACCTGTGATTTTGAAAATTACATTTCACTCCTTGAGGTTTCTAATTTCATAACAAATTGCCTCTTTTATTAATAAATTATTAAGTCAATTAACTATTTTTAATGTTATTAGAAATATGTTTCAATTACTAATTTAGGTAATTTTATTATTGTATAGGAGAGCAATTATAAATTTTATTTTTTTAGTTAATTCTGTACAATAAAAAATTCTAACAATGGGGTATTTGTAATTTTCTAAACTACAAGGCACATCTATACTTTAAGCAAATCTCAGGAGATGTATTTGTAATTTACCCTTAATTTTTTGCATGAATAATTTTCTTAATTAATTGTATAAGATAAATGGTTTAGATCGCCGAAGTGAGTCTATAGACCCCCAGTGGGGTGACCCCCACTGACAACCCCCAGTGAGGTGTCACCCCCTATTGGTTGAAATTGGCAAAAAAAAAAAAAAAAAAAAAGGAAAACAGTTTTTGGGCCAATGAAAAACGATCCCCAGTGACCCCCACTGGGGGTGTTAGGCATTTTTCTTGGTGAAAATATGACTAAATACTATGTAGATTAAAATATTGAGGGAATTTGATATATTATGTTAAAATTGTAAAATTTATTGTATTTTATTTAAACCTCACGAGAAATTAGTATAATTTATCCAAAAATAAAATAAAGTTGGGTTACTCTTTTTAAAGTATGATTGTTTTTTAGAATTGAAAATAAAAAATGAAAAACAATATGTAACTCGTACTTACTAAAATAAATAAATAAACTTTCAATTTTTTTGGTTAAGATTTCATAGCCTATTTTGTTAACAAATTATGTTTTCTAACGCAATTCACCAAATTTTTGTTTTATTAAAAATATTTAATTGCAAAACTTTTTAGTTAAAAAATCATGATTTATTAACAATTTTCCAAATTTTGATTTTATTGAAAGTTGTTTTTAAAAAAATTTAATCCAGATTTATGCAAAATATTATTTGACTCATAATGTTAGGCCCGATATCATTTGGAGTTGTACTATTTGAATCCATACTACATGAGCCAAAGCAATGCGATCCTATGACACTAGAATCCAACGTTATTTGGGTGTGTTTGATTTGACGGATTGGATAAGAGAAGATTAGAATCCATTTGACTTGAATTCTAAGACTGTGAATCCTCTCAGGTTATTTGGTTGGATTGGATGTGTATCTCGTGTTTATTTTTTCATCGGATTAGATGTTTGGAAAGAACTATTTTTAATGAATCCAATGTTTGGTTGGATAGACTCGATATGATAAATGAGCAAAAAACTATTTTACCCTTTTTCAATTGTTTATTAAGTAATAGCAATATTAAACATATATTTAATATTTTAATTATTTTTAGCTAGATTAAATAAAAATTTATTTTATTTTATTTTTTTACACAATTAAATAAATTTATTTTTAAATAAATAAATAAATAAAATATCAATAAAAATATATGTTATTTTTTTAATTAAAATTTTAAATAAATTTATTTTTTAAAATAATAATAATTAAGTAATGAAATTAAATAAAACATCTATTAAAATTTAAATAATGAAATTAAATAAAATATAAACAAAATTTTAAAATAAAACATCAAAAAATATCTATAAAAAAACTATTTTTAAAAATTAAATAAATAAAAAATCAGTAAAAAGTTAAGTAAAATTATTTTATTTTTAAATTGAGACATTTAAATTATATTGAATTTTACTAAATATAATACATAATTAAATAGTAGAAGATCAAAATGGTCATTTCATCACCTAATCCCAACAGTAAATAGTCCCATGAAAATTGTCCCACACCCCTAGGATAGTATAGTCCCCCCCATATGGGGGATAAGGAGTTCGGTCGGACTCTATGTCTGACAGACTAAAAAAAAAACAAACGTCGGATCGGATGCTTCTCCTAGATTACAATCCGCACAGTAAATAGTCCTCCCTTATCCCCTAATCAAACACACCGGATAACAAACAAATATCAAAACAAATAATGGACACTAAATAGGGTGTTAAAAAAAACAGCTCTGCTACAGAGCCCGAAAGGGTTTCGAGCCAAATTTTGCTCGAA